TTAATAGGCGATAGCTGACATTTCTGAAACCTTGCTAATTAAGGGCTTCCTTCTTAAACTCAAGCATAACGTCAGGATTTTTTTTCTTTTCTTCTCCATTTCCTCTCTCTCTTCATGTTTGTAAAATCAGGTGATTTCATTAATGCGTGCCAGTCAGTCTTAATAAGCCAGAGGAGGGGGGGGGGGCTCTTATTGAGTGACCTTCTACAAAATAAGCAAGTTGCTGGTGGGCTCTGTCCGCAGCCCCACTCCAGCGAGCTGGGCCTCATTTACAATGCAAAACCTCCTTCTGTAATCCAAGTGTCCTTTCTGCAATCACAGAGCATAATCTGCTGCTCTCTTGTTACAGACAACACTTTACCACACCGGCTGGCACACGATGAATATCAGAGCTGATATTATTTTCTCGGCGCATTGTTTGCCCATCTTCGCATCGCAGAGATTAAGGGAAGACGAGAGCTTTGTGCAGCCACTTGTGCTGAAAAGTGGCCTCATTCTAATACTGTTAAAATAGTCGCCGGGCCGTGTGCGTGAATTATAATGGACACAAAAGGTTTGTCCGCTCTCATGTGTAAAAGAGAGATAGCTTTACATTTCATCTTTGTATGGAAATAGATTTTTTAAGCCGTTATTGTAATGTGTTCACTTGCTGGGAGGCTGTCATCTATTTTTTCTTTTTTTAACTTTAAAATCAATATGAAAATCAAAATTGACACTATTTACTTTATTAATATAAATTATATATATATATATATATATATATATATATATAGTAGAAAATTATTGTGCCGTTTTTGTGTACTGATCATCATTAAATATATGAGCTCATCTGTAGTGCTGCTGGAAGGTTAAACACAAGATGCAAGATGTGATTTTATTTTCTTTTTTTTATGTGAATGGCTTGTTTCTTCTTTTTTGTTGGGATTGGACTCCAGTTGTCTGTAAGCCGGTTGAAAACCTCAACCCCATCTCTTTAGTTCTTCAAAAAGAATCCTCAATTCTTTGCTCTACTGGATATAGGCGGAATGTCAGTCTTCCAGAGAAAGATCCATAAAGTCTTACTTGGATTGTGCCTGCAGCTTTTTGATGCCCAGGGACAAAAAAAAGGAGAAGAAAAAAAAATGTGTTGATGTGCTGTTGGGTTTCTATTGTGTGAGAGGCCAAACAGTAAGAAAGAAACAAAGAGAGCTGGAGAAACAGACAAGACAGTTGGTGGTCCTGTTACACAGTTGTTTTGGTTTATGTTTCCATGGATTTTCTGTGATTTTTGCTGTTTGTTTTACAGTAAGAGCCCAGTAAAATGTTCTGTTTAAACTGTGTAGGTGCACATCAATTCTTTCAGTAAGCATTCTTGCGAATATTAGACAGGTTTTTTGGGATAGTTATTTGACTTATATTTGGGTAATGCATTACAAGTAACGTGAATTACGTAATCAGATTACTTTTTTAGTAACTAAATTTGCAATGAAATATCTGAGTTATTTTTTCAACAAAGTAACCCAAGTTACTTTGCTTTTCCACATTTATTTACGGAGTTGGAAAAAAAAAACTCATGTTTTTTTTTATTATTTAATGGCAAATAAGAATGCCCAGCCCAAGTGATAAAAAGTAATGCATAAGCAACGTAATGCATTACTTTTTGTAAAAAGTAACTAAGTAACGCAATTAGTTACTTTTTTATGAGTAACGCAATATTGTAATGCATTACTTTTAAAAGTGACTTTTTTCATACAATAGATTTTGTCCAGTTTATTTATTTTTTCTCTCACTGAAAAATAATGACTATCATACAATTTTACAATGATTTACAGAAGACACTCACTACAATGTCATTCATTATAACTAGTGGTTATATCTGAGTTATTTTTTCAACAAAGTAACCCAAGTTACTTTGCTTTTCCACATTTATTTACTGAGTTGGAAAAAAAAAAAACTCATGTTTTTTTTTATTATTTAATGGCAAATAAGAATGCCCAGCCCAAGTGATAAAAAGTAATGCATAAGCAACGTAATGCATTACTTTTTGTAAAAAGTAACTAAGTAACGCAATTAGTTACTTTTTTATGAGTAACGCAATATTGTAATGCATTACTTTTAAAAGTGACTTTTTTCATACAATAGATTTTGTCCAGTTTATTTATTTTTTCTCTCACTGAAAAATAATGACTATCATACAATTTTACAATGATTTACAGAAGACACTCACTACAATGTCATTCATTATAACTAGTGGTCGACCGATATATCGGCCGATATTTGGCATTTTTTTAAATATCGGCATCGGCCGATAAGTTTTCCTGTTTGGCCAATACATTCTAGATGGGACTTTTATTTTGACGGCGCTGAGAACGGCAGCACACAGTGCTTACATTCTCCCTCTTGTTAGCTGTTGTCGTTCAGTTCTGTCTAATATGGATTATCTAATACGTCTGTCTAATAATCAGATAGAACGGTTAAACAAAGGAGTTAAAATGTATACAAAATTATTATAACGATTACTTTTATATTATTAGTAATAGAAAGGCAAACATTATAATACTTTCTTGTTTGCCGTCAGCATTCAGCAAATACGCATTTATATCTTTGACAATCTTTGAATGTCTAATGAACATCTAATTTCAAAAACCTTGCAAACTTAGTCGGATCCAGTTGTGAGATCTTGTGAAGTGTGCATTTGTATCCTGCACAATCGCATGTTCTCTGCGTGACGGTCGATCCGTACGAATTGAATGCGGACAGGAGGAGAGTTCAGCTTCACTGGAGACGCGCGATCAACAAACTTCAAACTCATGATTTTAAATTGTGCTGCGCTTTATGTATTTGCCCACTGTAATATTCATGTCATTTTCACTGTGCTGTATGTAAAATGAGTGTTACCTTGGCTTTATATGAAAAAAATATGATTAATGCACACAAACTTCCCAGAATACTGAGTGCCCTGTTGGTTACAGTTGACTTCCTTTTTAAGTATATTTTTATTCCATATTTATTTATTTGTGGAAAAATACTTTGTCATCTAAAGTATAAGTATGTTTATTTAACACATTTATTTTTAATGAATTTTCAAATTATTTCAAATTTCTTAAATATTAATTAAAATAAAATTATATCGGCTTTATATCGGCCATCGGCCACCCTGCTTTCCTAGATATCGGCATCGGCTGTCAAAAAAACAATATCGGTCGACCACTAATTGTAACTATAGCTGACAATCATATAACAAAAAAATCTTGTCAGGTATATTTAGAACAGGAATCATTAGATTACATTAAAAGACTCTATTTAAAGATCACAGTGCAGCCCCCAAAATACTAATTAATAGTAATTTGAATTATTTACCAGTCTTTGCCACTATCCTTCAAACCACTAGGTTTTACCCATTTGTCAGCAAGTTTTTAATCGTTTCAAGTATAATAACGTTTAGTATGATCACTTATTTAATAAGTACATGTCATGATGATGGTGAACATTATTTCATCCATATTTTGACTTTTTTCGCAAAAGTTATTGAAACATTTGCTTGCACTTTACTTGCATTTAGCATGTAAATGAAATCACTGTAATTTAATGAAGACGTGTTTATTTTATATTATCATTTTGTTTTGTTTTATTTTATTGTTTGTCCACTTGGCATTCCATTAAACTCGAGACTAAATTTGTGATAAACATTTCCAGAGACAGGTGTACATTTTCTTACCTTTTGGTAAATGTACACCTTCAAAACTGTTCTTGCATAGCCATTTTGTTTCTTCTTTTTTGTTTCTGTATCATCTTCTGATGATTGGACAGCAGAACGCTGCATTAGCAGTAATATCCTCTAGCAGGAATATCCTAAATCTACAACACAGCATTGTTCTGTTTTACAGTTCTAGCATTGTGCTGAAATAACCCAAGCCCACGTCTCTTTATTCATTGTTTCTGCTTGGAATAATAATTTGTGAAGCACTAAATTGCTTTGAGGGATAGGACATTAAAGGGATTATTCTCATGTAATCCGCGGGTCCCTGTAGACGTGGACCTGATCACAGAACAGCGTTACTCAAAACACAACAATAGCATGTTTAAGAAGCGCCACAGCTACTTTAACCGCCTGTTGTTGTTTTTTTCTTGTCATCCCCAGTTAGCAACAGTAAATCCGTTTTTCCCGCCCGCTTAGTAAATGAGCGTGTTTAAAGGTTAGACAAGCACACGCTAATTATTTGATTATCTGGACGAGCTCTCTCTCCCCTAAAGAGCAGAAAGTTGTGTCTCGGCGAGAGGAAACCTCTGGAGGGAGGATTGAAGTCAAAATAAAAAGAGCACAAGCTACAGTTACAGAAAAGAACAGTAAGCTCACTATGAAAGATACCCGGGTAATACTTCATACTAGCCTTCATGAATAAGTCATTAAAAGATTTTATATAATGCTAAACAGATCATATATGAATTAAAATTTCATGACATTTTTAACTGCGTGAGTGTAAATGAAATAATGATCTGATGAGAAATTTGCTGAAGCTCACTTGGCAGAATATTGCGCTTGCAACACCAAAGTCAAGGGTTTGATTCCCAGGGTACACATATACTGATGTGGATACATAACCAGATTTGATAAAAGTGATCAAAATATATAAAAATGTAAATATATATTTTTATGTCATTGTAATTGTAGTATTATTTAAATACTGTATGTATTTATTCATTTTCGAAAATTGCCTTTATTTTTATATTTTCAGTTTTCATTTTAGTTCTAGTTCATAATTTTATGTGCTTTTGTTTTTAGTTTTACAATGTTTTTTATTTTAGTTTATATTTTAGTTTTAGTCATTTTAGTACTCACTTATTTGATTTCATGTATTTGTCAATGCAGCATTTCTAAGGTTTTTCCAGATTTTATTTGAGCTTTATTTCAGTGAAATGTATTTTAATTTAGTAGTTTTAGTTTTAGTTAGGAGTAACAGCACTGTTTCATGTTCTTTTTGACTAATGTGTCTCTGTGGCTGTTGTTTGTGCTGCTGTAGGTAGAGCTGACGGGCAGCAGTGTGTTTGATTACGTTCACCCGGGCGATCATGTGGAGATGGCCGAGCAGCTGGGCATGAAGCTTCCGCCGGGCAGAGGGCTGCTGTCTCAGGGCGGCGGGGCCGAGGACGGGGCCAGCTCTGCCTCTTCTTCCTCTCACTCTGAGACACCTGAGCCAGGTAAGATCATGAGACTATGAGCGGCCTTGCTGGACAGGTTAGAACACGTGGGTTCAGACGTTTAGACATCATTCGCATTGTGTATATGCAACAGGCAACCTTGGGTTTGTGTACTAATCTCTCTAGTTTGGTTTTTGTGCCTTGGCTCTTTTAGGTGTTTGATTTTATACTAGTTTAGTTTTGTTTATTACTTTTTTAAAAATCTTATTTTTATGGTTTAATATTATTTGGTTATTTTATTATTTTACTTTTTATTTTTGTTTTGGCCCTTTAACATTTTATTTTATTTTTATTTTTTAAATAATTGATTCTGGTTCACTCAATAGTGAACAATTCCACTTCACGTCGAAGTCCTTGAATGTAAATTTATATTATTATAATTTAGTTTTTAGTCATGTTTGGTTAATATTTAAAAAATATTATTATTTATTTTACTTTATTCTTTAATAATATTTAATTATTTTAATATTTACTTTTAGCTCTTTTTTATTTTATTTATTTTTCCACTTCACGTCCTTAAATGCAAATAATTTAGTTTTTAGTTAAGTTTGGTAAATATTGTAAAAATATTTGTATTTATTTTATTGTATTTAATATTATTTTATTTTTTAATATTTATACTTGGCTCTTTGTTTTTATTTTATTTATTTATTTTTTAATACTTGATTATGGAATAATTCTGCTAGTTCTTGTCAATGGTTTATTACCGATCATTAATACTGACCTTAGTTCAAAAATGCGGGGGGGTTTTCTACAAGACTTCTACTTTAATGTCTGGATTCTGTGATTTGAATCATAGTTTTTTAAAATAAACATTAGATGCATAATTTCAGTTTAAATATAAAAAGAAACATTTGCAGTTCATCTATTACACTTTTGCTTTGAGTAAAGCTTTGATTCAATGATCTCGTAGCTCCAGATTTGGGCTGTATTATTTGTTTTGTGTGTTCGTTATTTAGTTATTCATTTCTTTGCTATTCTGTTTATTTATTGATACCCAAAGCCATGTTTCTTTCTGAGGTCTGTGTTATAGATATGCTGCACCAAGCGGCCAATATGATGCTCAGACACTGTGAGTGGACCTTAAGTTGCCAGAAGTGTCCGTGTGTGTGTGTGTTAATGGCATGTGTGGCATGATATGCCTGATGAGTGTCTTCCGCTCGGCCCCGAACTCTCCAGGGGCGGCCCGTGTGGCGGCAGCACTGTAACACAGGCTTACCCTGCTCCCGAATTTAATTAGACGAATTGTATAGCAGGGATGAAAGAGGTGACATTCCTCATTGGAATTCCTTTCAGGGCTCTTATAGACTTTGCCTTCCAAATGTTCCCATTTTCATTGTGTTGTACTGATGATAATTTAAGTATTAGGGGAAAATCCATTTATAAATTAAACAAAATGACTTGATATCCATCAGTCCCCGAGTTCATCAAGCTGTTCAAACATGAGGGAGATTGGCTGGTCGGCCCGGGTCTTCCGAGAGCTTCAGTAATTAGATCTGCCAAGGATTTATACTTTGCTGATTGGAGCTTTAAATTAATTGAAGTTCCACATTTGTGGTTTTGTCCTTTTCGTGGCGTTTTCTTTTTCTTTTTTTTCTAGCCAGGCAGAAATTTCACACTGGCAGACTCGAAAGTGTGTGTGTGTGCGTGTGTGTGTGCGCGCGTGCATGCGTGCGTGCGTGTGTGTGTGTGTGCGCGTGCGTGCGTGCGTGCATGCGTGCGTGTGTGTGTGTGTGTGTGTGTGTGTGAGCGTTAATTTCTTGGTGAGAGTGAGCGAGAGGGTCTTTAATGGTTAGAGGGCTGGTCTGACGCTGAGATTTATTTGTTTATACGCAGAATCATTAAAGATGTGCTTTACAATCAGATAAAGGGCACCACGGTCTGTCTTCTAACACCAGAGCTTCATTTATAGATTATGAGCACCAGAGACACATACTGTACAAGACGTTTGTGGGGGATTTTATTTATAAGGATAAAAATTGTTTAAATCCAGTTGGCAGCATGATGCCATACCTAGACAAAATTGGATTAAAATCAATGACGTTGTCTACATTGTAAGCTTGTTGGTATAGATTTGTTGCTTTCATTTTCTTGCATTGTATCGAGCCCCTAAAGGGGCATGGTGGTAAATGCAAGGATGTAAGTAAATGGTGGTAGATGCAACATTTAGATTTTTTTAATGTTTTTGCGTTTGCATAAAACTTTTGTGTTATCTTGCAAAACTGTTGCGTTTCCCCAAGAAACTTTGCAGAAACTCTCAAAAGTTTTGTGATGTAAATAATATGAGGTGGGAGTAAAAACTGTATTTTTGAGTGCTTTCGCACGTGAACTTGAAGCTGCTTAGGGGAACGCAATAGTTTTTCCAGAGAATGGATTGAAATGCATTGTTTCTTTGGGAAACGCAATACTTTTGCGAATGCAAATGTTTTGTGAGAGAATGCAAATGGTTTAAAAGAGAATGCACATTTTGCGGGAGAATGCAAAGTTTCTCGGGGGAATGCAATACTTTCGCAAGAGAATGGGAATTTTTTGCGAGCAAGCGAAAGTTTCTCGGGGAGCGCAATACTTTTGTGAGAGAACGCAAATGTTTTGTAAGGGAGCGCAAAGTTTCTTGGGGAAATGCATCACTTTTGTGAGAAAATTCAAGTGTTTTGTGAGAGACTGCAATAGTTTTGCCAGAGAATTTAAATGTTTTGTGAGCGAGGACAGTTTTTCTGGAGAACGCAAATGTTTTGGGGTAATGCAATAGTTTAGTGAAAGGACACAAAAGCATTAAAATAATTTTTTTCCTCCCATCTAATAATATTTTCCATTACCATATCCCCTCAGGGACTCTGTAGCATTGAGATTTGCTTGTAGTGTAAAATTATTTTACTAGTGAAGATGATTCTCTTTGGCATGAAAATGTCTTGGAATCCAGGACTTGGCTGGTTAGCATGGGACATCGCCCCTGCTGGTAGATACGGCAACTACATCATCTAGAGACAAAAAGGTTTTTTAATTAACATTTTTTGTTGTGCAAATATTTTATTATATTATTGTAAATGTTTTGCCAGTGATATTTCTTTCTGCTTCTTGACTTTCATATTAACCTGTCTGCTGTCTCTGGCGTCACATCTGTGTGCCAGCCACGCTACTGTCATTAAGATGAACGGGAATGCTAATAGTTATCTTTCTGCAGGTATAATAGCCCTCCTTGGGACACAAAATCTCCCTCTTGTGCTCTATTTTTCTTTCTCTCTGAATGAACGGCAGGCTGAACTGTGTTTAAGGTGGAGTCAAGCGTTTCACCTCCTGTCACCTCCCTCATATGTGTGTGTGTCCTGCCTCTACACTCGTTTTTTCCTCCTCTTTCTGCCTATGACGTCACTTGTTTCATCTGCTCAACCTGCAGAGTAAATTGTGTTATCAACAGCCTATTTTAAATATATGGCAGTGCGGAGGGGAGAGCGAGTTTTCCCCTCATCACTGGCTCCATCGCTCTCTCTCCAGGGCATGACACGCCAGCAATAAAGCGGTAAAGACGGCGGTATATTTCTTGAAGATCGTAATCCTGCTGTTTGTCAACAAGAGGCTTTTGATGAGCTTGAAAAGCAGCTCCCTGTTTGTGCATTAATAAAAGAAAACGATTCAAGCTCCATTTGCAATGAGATGAATTTGGAAACAGACGCCTGTGAGCCTGTGACATCTGTCCAATCAGCTCTGGTGCAGAGAGAACATCATTCGCCGCACTGCTTTTAGTTACAGTTCCTTTAACCTATTCATTCGTTTTAAAGGAGCGATTCGTTCAGCATTAGATGTTTATCTAATGGCTAACAAAGGAGAAATATTTTATATTGGAGGCGTGCATTCTTCACTTCATTTCAGAAAGTCTTCATGTTCAATTTTTTTTTTGTTATTTTGATAATTATTAGTACTAGTTTTGGGGAAGCTATATCTATCTATCTATCTATCTATCAACTTGTAATATTTTTATTTTACATTTTATTTTAAATTATTTTGTAGTAGTAGTGTTTTATGTTATATAAATTATATAAAACATATTTTAGGTATTTTATATAATTTATATAGTTATGATCACAATCAAACCTAAACTTAATAATTAGCTTTAAACAGCAATAAACATCCGTTTTTAGATTATAGCTACAAAAAAGCACAGGGAATTTTGTGATGATTGATTGATGATTGAATCATTTGAATCAGCCATTCTATTCTGTTGAGCTAGTTCACAGAAATTATTCATTTGAATCTAAAGACAGCTCGTTACTGTAAATTGCTTAAATTATTGTGAAAGCAGTTTATAGTGGCATTATATTTAGTTAGTTACTCCCCAACACTATAAGTGGTGATAATTATATACAATATTAATGCTATATGCCATAAAGGGCTTGCATTACCATGATTTTACCTCAATTATGGAGTGTTTTGGCACAATGTGTACATTACATTTATATATAACTAAATTAATATAGAATTAATAATAAAGAAAATTGTATATGGCTCAACTGATGTATGGTCATAGATGTATATTGCATCTTTGAAGGATTTGAAATTTATATCAAAATTTCAGTTATGCAACATAAGTAAATTTAATTTGTTTTAATTCAAATATTCAAATAAGCAAAAAGATATTTTGGTTTCCACTCAGTTATAATGGACACATGAAAACCAGTGTAATGTATGCCAAAATACACAGAGAAACAAGAGATGTGGCATTAAACAATGATAAAAAGAACAAGATACTATAAATAACGGGAAAAAACACCTGAATTAACCTTTGGCAGTGCTGCATGTGAGGATGATGGACTGAGAACACTGTGTGAGGAGCGTTCGGTCCCAGCGCAGGGCTGAGTGGGCGTCCAGAGCAGCAGTCGCCCATGGGCAGGGTGATCCGGACTCTCCCGTAGGGTCAGACCTTTGATTTGTGTGGATTCTCCTCTAGCCTTTAACAGGTGTCTGCTGCTGCGGGTGACATTTGAAATGCAAATAGAGCTCTTTTC